AAGGTGCAGAGTGTGTTGATGCATGCTGAATCATCCAGGTAAGTAAATCCCAAAAGGTTGATGTAGGGTTTAAAAACACTACGTCCAGATAAACCAAAAATCAACCTGTTGGGATGTAAGGTGTGAAATGTATCTGGTGTTGTGAGAAGCTATGAATCCACCCCGACCAATTAACACAGACAGGGATTTCTATAAATATATTCTGAAGTCTGTTGTTGCTCATAATGGCTCAAGTTATCCCTGCGGGATAACTTGAGCCATTAGAGGTCGCTGTCACTTTGGTTATTTGAAGGTATATTTGGACTTCAGACACAAGGCCACAAAATTGTAGAAAAACCATGACTTGTAACAGTAAATATCAGTGAGTTGAAAGTAACGTACACTGAGGATCAGGATACTTGAACTCTGTGGTGAGCAAGAATTTTAGTATCTACAGTCTTCTTTTGTAAATCCAGACATGGTGATCCTGGGAAGCTTAGACATCTGACTCTAGTAAAACTAACAGTCATTTTGAATATTATTTATTATTATTATTATTATTATTATTATTATTATTAACAACAACAACAACAACAACAATAATAATAATAATAATAATGATTGTTAATACTGTACCTGCATGAAATGAGCTCTGCTCTCTGTGCCTCTGCCTTCTGTTACCTGTATATATAAAAAAGAACTAGAGATGGACCGATCCGATATTACGTATCGGTATCGGTCCGATACTGACCTAAATACTGGATCGGATATCGGAGAAAAATAAAAAATGTAATCCGATCCATTAAATATCACGAAAGCACCTCACAAAACTTGCAACACGCCGTAACTCACCTCAGAACGTTAGCACGTCTGGAGCAGTATGCATCACGTGATAGAGCGGCTGTGGCATGCGGGACCTGTCGGTGGTCTGGATAGCATGTGGAGCTTCGCTAGCAACCCGGCATTTCATCTCCGCTAGCATTTCATCTCCGACAAAGTTATCCCCGAGAGAAGTAAAGCAAGCGTGTAAGTCCATCTCTGAATGTTTGTAAAGCATTCCCACGCTAAGCTTAACGAGCGACTGCCTCTCGCTCTCCGGCTGGTACTTCAATCGTGAAACTGCTTAAATGATCAGCTGATCAGCTTTTCTGTCGCGAGTCCGTCTTTGTTTTTGGCCCACTTCGCACCAGAAAGAGCAAACCAGCGGCTGAACAACAGCAGCACGTTTAAGCTTGATAAGCTGTTGTTAGAATTTATTTAATATTACTTTCTACACCAGGATCTTTTTCTACGTAGCTGACGGCTGGTAACTGTGCAGGGGCGGATCTAGCAAAGTTTAGCCAGGGGGGCCGATTGTGCCCCCTTTTCACTGTTCATGCCCTAAGACATACTTTTCTTTCTTATTCTCATTTAAAATGTCGAGCTTTTAATAAATAATTATCTGACACCCAAAGTTTTAATTTGATGCAAAATGAATAGAAGTCAATTACTGTATATAGTGACTATTAAGTCTAATATATATACCCTAGTAAGCTATAGTACTTTTTACTTTGGGAAGGTACCATCTGTGCAGTCTGCAATTTTGTTGAAGAAAGATGTTGAATCTATTTAAAATTTCTTGAAAAATAATTGATTTCTGTGCATTTTTTTTCACACTGCATCAAATTAAGGTTGATTACGTCGATTAAGCATCATGAGGTGGAGCGTGAGGGGTGGTTCCCTATTTTTTATTTATTTATTTTTGTTGTTGCTGGGAGTTGGAACCCTATTAGTTAGGTTGCTTAATATTTACGCTAAGTACTCTTTAAAATACCAGAATAGGGATGGATGGTGTAGGTTTAAGTTTATTAGATTGATCAGTATTGCTGAACTATGAAATTTTTTTTTTTGCATACAGGTATAACAGAATAGCTTTAGTGTAGTTGTTGTTTTAAACTTGAGTATGAACTTGCATGACAAAATGCAGCAAGATATTTAAAAAACAGTTTTGTTGATTAAAAAACACTATATCGGATTCATATCGGTATCGGCAGATATCCAAATTTATGATATCGGTATCGGACATAAAAAAGTGGTATCGTGCCATCTCTAAAAAGAACTCAAAGGTAATATGGAAAGGTTATTATTAAACATAGTATTTCCTTTTTTTAGTCTGCTTTCCAGGCTTCTCATCTAAGCAATAATTTGAAATAATTTCAGTTAAGTTTAAGTTTTTGCTTAATCACATGTTCTTGTTTATTAAATTGAATTGATTATCTCTGATATTTGGACAGGTCCCCCTAAGTGACAGCATTTTAGATGTTTTCCAGATTTTTTTTTTTTTAAATTAAAATTGAGCTTGTTCAGGTAGAATATAGAGAGAAAATGTAGAGCATGTCTTTAAATGACACGATACTAGTTTGTGTCATTGTTACAGTTTATAGCCACAACAGTTGATGGATTACACCTGGCTCATTAAACAACGGAGAGAATAAAAGCCTCTTGGAGTTGAGCATAGTCGTGTGGCTCAGATAGTGTGATGAAAGCCTAATTTCCATATGCTATTTGCACTTCACACAGCACCTTTAAAGCCCACTGCTCATTGTGGCAGTGATCCAGGTTGTGCTCTAGTCTTTACAGAGGCCAAAATGGCCGTTGAACATCAAGAAAGTAGACCTTACTTTGCATCTATGTGACAGCAATGTCACTGTCAGAGACACTGATATGCTGGTGCTTGACATGCCACATGCTTCTGCCTGCTTTCTGGTTGGAACAAGTGATGCATGTTTTTCCTGGTTAAACTGTTGTGACAACTGTCTGTCTACTGTTCAGTTTTTTTTATCTACAAGTTTGACCTGAGTTGTAACGTAGTGTCAACCACAATGCTGCGAATGTTTACTTGGGTGTAATTGTAGTTTAATCCATCAGGCTATAAATTTCATACTGTTTCTGACATGATGGCTTAGATGAGTTGCTTGACCGTTTACTTTAAGCGATCATAAGTGACAGGTGAGTTTCCACTTCTGCCAGTTTTATTGAGTTGGGGGTGTGGCTTTTGAAGATTGGCTATGGCAACTCGCACCATTGGCTCTATTATCCAGTAGACTTGAAAACATGTTTAGCCTTGTGGGGTACCTCAGGGGTCTGTCTTGGGTCCAATTCTCTTTTTACTTTATATATTCCCCCTGGGCCAAATTATTAGGCAAATTCTCTTCCACTGTTTTTACGCTCTACAGACTCCATTGATTCTTTTAAAAAGCAGCTGAAGACATTTTTATAGATACGTTTTCAACTAATTAGTTGTTTTTATGTTGTATTTTATTGTTTTACATCGTTAGGTGTTATATTTTCATTCTTTGTATTGTGAAGTACTTTGTGATTTTCATCTGTGAAAAGGGCAATATAAATAAACTTTACTTACTTACTTACAAATGATTATCTATTGAAAATAGCACACTAGTCTATTTGGCCAAATCCCAGTCTGGGCCTCACACCTCTCCCTTAACACAGCAGGGGTATGAACCATACTCTAGTGTGGAACAATATCTATGCACCGACATATATAAAGACTGCTAATAAATACAATTACATAATTATTGAACTGATTATGACACTCCTTTAAAGAAAAGTTTTAAAAGTTGCCAAAATGTTTTAGTGAAATTAAACAGATTTTGTGAAACACACAAAATTGTTACATATGTCCTTTAGAAAGGAAGATTTGACTATTTTTTCTACAAGTATAGCATCCCAAAGTTAATTCAGCTGTGGATTTGTCAGACCTGAATCATTTGCTTAAACCTCACTGATCTCAGCAGGAAACTGGGCTGAACAGCAGCCAAAGTTTCGACTGGGAATCGTGGGAAACAGCGTAAATAAGGATACGAGTGACGCACAGGAATATGTTGAATAAAAATGACTTTAAATCACTTGTATTTGTCATCCTACCAGAGGCTATTAACAAAACCTCCTCCTCAAGGAGGTGTGGGGGTCCTTGCAGACCTTGAGGTAGAATTAGCTATGAGGCATGATGTATGGCTTGTGAGCAAGGCAGGCTGAGTCAGTTGAATTTAAAACTGCCATTGACGGAATCGTTATATGAAAAAGTGTGAATCATGCTGAATTCAGAAGTCTTGGAAATTAGTCAGGATTCTTTAATGGCAGTCTTGGTGACTTGGCAGACCACCAGCACGTCATTTAAACAGTGAACTCATATTTCAGAAGGGATATGAATGCACGGGTGTGAGTCACGTGATGATGTCCCCCCCAACACACACACACACACACACACACACACACACACACACACACACACACACACACACACACACACACAGGGTGGTGGATTCCTCTCGTCTTATTGCGCAGCATGATACTGCAGCTCCGGAACAGCTCCACACGCCAACCCACCTTGAAACGCTCCCTCCACTGCTGCATTCATGCTGTCCAAGAAAAATGGGAAGATGTAATTAATTACCTTTAAAAAGCTAAAATCAGGAAGTCATCGTTTTGTTCATAAGCACCGATTCCTTCGACTTGCAAAAATTCAGAGTCACGCATAATACAGTCAAAGAGCAGTAAACGCCTTAAAGAAACAGGATTGGTTTCCATCCATTATAAAGGGTAACCACCTGTTGGGTTGTTTCTGTCTGCGGATGTCTGACGTGGTTTTGTATAATAAGTTTTTCCCTTCAGTTTTATCATTGAGATGCTTCACTTACCATATCGGATGGTTTGCCTCTAACTCTATTACAAGTGACCAACGTAACATTATTTTCTCCGATACACGCCATTACAGCTGTTAATGTAAGTTTATTCGCACTGAAACAAACAAACCACAAAAAGCCAGCGACGAGCAGCTATTCCTGGGTGCTCCACCGAGCAGAGGTGCAGAACCTCCGAGCCTCACCACATGCCAGGAACGCATCACTCCAACTCGGAAAACGACAGCGCAGGTAACCAATCGGCGTCCGGAGCCCACCCACACCCTTCAATGAAACGGGTGTGGAGGCGGGCTCGTGGATATCTAAAGGCTCGGGCTTGGTTTCACAGCGTCGCCTGCTCTCGTCCCATTGGCGCAGGTGATCCAACTCAGGATGCGAGTGGAGAGCGGAGGAGAGGGGAAGAGAGAGGGGGAAGCGCCGATGGAAAAGTGTCCAGGGCTCGGTTAACAAGAAGACAAGGATACCGGCCCGCTTCAGTTTGTCCTGGGGCACCCGGCGATGAGAGATTCACCGAAAGGGGCACTTTGAGATATGATGAGATTTATTTCTGGTCGGCAATAGTACTATGATTTGGTATGTGGCCACTTTGATAGCAAGTGTATTCAGCACCCGAGGAACGGCCGCTCAAGGTGAGTCGAAGTGCAGTGTGTGTGTCTTTGCTCAAGTTTTCACTTTGGCACGTTCAAACTATGAAACGGCTTTTTATGCTTTTCTTATTAGCTCACTCTGACTGTGTCGGCTCTATGGGAAAATGTCAAAACAAGTTCATACGTGTGTTCATCACCTGAGTGGGTAAAGGATAAGGGACCGGTCCACCGTTAAAAGAAAAAAAAAGGAGGAGGATAAACCTGGTTTAAACATGCTTATTCCCGCCGTAATGTATCTCGGGAATTTGTGGTTATCATTGATAAATGGCACTGCCGAAGTTGTGACGTTTTTGGCTCCAGAGTGACAGATTTTGCAGTCTATTTGGGTTGGCATATTCCTCCCGAGACGCGTGAGTTCGGGCTCTCGCAGCTGTAGCAGCCTGTCTCACTGAGCTCCACGCCGGTCTGCAGCTGCTGAAATCTGAAGGCAGATGTGATTAGTATGGTGCGCTGGTGTAGATGTCATTATAATGCTATGAATGGATTAACCTCTTCCTGGGGAGCGGCTGAAGCTCAGTTGTGGCGGGCTTTGTCCGCTAGAGGGAGAACTTTGACATTTAGGGGAATTCACACGGTTGTCGTCACTCTTCAGGCTGCTTTTCACGCACTAATGACAAGTTGTGATGACTTCAGATTTCTTGGCTTGTTGACGTCATGGGTGAAAGATCATAACCTTTCCATGGGGCGCTGAGGGACTTCTTCTGAGAGGGTAGTGTAGCTGTTACCAAGCTTTATATTCAGAGAGCACATCAGTGTAGGAGGCAGTCTTTTGGTCAAAAAAGGACAAAAAACAGTGAAAAATTATAATTTTCTTAAAGCTAAGTTGACATATTGCTACAGTTTGTTCTGCCTTATCAGCGCTCCAAAGCTTGAGAGTATTCACATAGCACATTGTTACTGTTTGTTCAGTCTGATCAACTCTCCAAAGCTCAAAAGTATCCACATAGCTGTCTGTGAACCAGTTAATTAATTGTCTGAGCTTTAATTCTATATGGCATCATTTCCTAGCCACATATAATTCAGTGGTCTGAAAGTGTGTCATGGAGTCTGAGTCTGTCTCACATCAATGATGTCATGCACAGGGAGGGATATGGCAGGCAAGCAAAGCTGCAATAGCGCTTTAACCTTAAAAATCCCCCACTGATCTTGGAGAGAGAGGAGAGATGCAGGCGACTGGGACAGCATATGTGCTTCGGCGTGATTAAATGATAAGGAAGGGATTCTGTCAGCGAGCTGTCCACCACTGTGTGTCAGACTTTTGACACAACAGACACTTGCAGGTTTTTTATTATGTTTATTTTTGCTCACATCATTCTGGCGTGTGAGACAAGGCTCCGTTAGCTCCACTGCAAACAGTTATGTAATATGCAGCCTAAAAAGGATACACTTAAGCATCGCCTGCCAAAGGAAGGAGACTTAGAGCGATGTTTTTAAGCGGCTTCCCCAAGCTATTCAATGTCTGGGACAGCTGGCGACTTGTAGAAGGAGGAGCGATGGTGATTGGACTCGCGTTTTGTAAAGACTTCCCCCTTAGGAAGTCTGTCAGGTTATGCATCTGATCCTTGTGCTGTGACGGAGCTCTGCAGCATCCATTTTTGAGCACACAGGCACACTCACTGAGACAAACGGCCCGGCTGGTAGAAGCGGCGCAGGGCAGCATCCTTGCATCAGAGCGCTGCTGTCCCAAGCTGGCGGCTGGCAAGTGGCTCGACTTTCGCCATGTGATAACCTTGGACTTGAACCATTCTCCCTCTCTTTCTGTCCAGCCTTCCTTCCTCTTATTTCATCCTTCCCTTCCCAACATTCTCCCTCCTCTCACTTATCCTGTCTGACTCAGGTTCTCGTTGCCTCCTCTTCCTGCTTTCTCTCTGTACATTTGCCCTGTCGTCTTCCTCTTCCATGCACTCAGATGAACTCGCTCCCCTCCAGGTTTCTAGAGGTCTCTCTCAGCACGGCCGGGTAGCCGAGGGATAGCAACATGGTGGGTTGTGTTAATGGAGGCTCAGGGCACCCTCTGCAGCGACTGTCTGCTGTCATTCACACACACACACACACACCATATGCACACATGTCAACGTTCTACTATCCCCTTGGGGAGCAGTGTGTCTTTAACCAGGATCTGAACATATGCCAACTAACAGGCTGTCTCCCCCAGACTAAGTGAACTAATTATAAATAAGCTGTGTGATAAATGCCACTCAGTTGCTACATAAATACACATGCTACGACATGCCAAGAGGGCTGGATAGGAGGTGGGAAGTAGGGGCTGTTTGCTTTGTAAAAAGAGAATTTCCCTGTGCAGTTTTTACCACTTCATTTAATATTCAATTTCACTCATACGTTGATTACTGTGTGCTATTTCAAGCCTTGAGGAGCATTACTGTAGACATGACCTATGTGTAAATAACAGAAGAAGGATGTTGTGCATCCTTAAAGTGCTTGAAAACTTAACCTTAAATAGAGGCAGCCAACCCTTATCCTACTCCTCACCCTGACCCTAGGTGTGACCTAGGTACCTAGATGCCCCTTTTCTATGACATCATACCCATCATACTCTGAAACAGAGTGTTTAGAGCAGTCTGAAGCTCGTGCTTAAGATCCACAGGGATGCATGCATTCATGGTAAAAACTTTGATAGTGTCGCCACTGCCGAAAGTAATTTTCCATTAATTTGAAACGTAAAAAGTAACGCAAGTAAAAAACAAATCAATAAAGTGAGACAAAGACAAAGTTTGTGCCACTGCTAAAGCTTTTAGCCACAGCTACACACTGAGCTAAAATTTGAAACTTTGTTATTTGCTCATATTTAATATGAGCATCTGTCAATTGAACAGGACACACATGAGAAAAAAAATAAGGAGAAGCGTAATAGGTCCACTTTTAAGAATGCTTTCATCATTTTTCATGATCTGTGTAGACTGGTTCTAACTCTGATGTGTTTGTGCTCTGTTCAGTTCTTTTGGACTGCTGAGAAAATAAACAGTGTGAACCAATAAACCCACAAACACAGAGACTTGGTTCAGTTTACATTTGGCTTAAAAACTAAGTAAATAAGCCAGCTGCTTTTGCAATAAGCATCCGGGTTATTTTAGCATGAATGTACCGTTGGTGAATCCTGAGGTAGCAATAATTAGCACTTATACACAGTGTATCACTGTAAGTGCTAAATGAATATGAAGATCTTAACGTGATCAGTCAGTAGCAGTTGAAAATGTCTGTGTTTGTGTCCTCTGTGTGCTCTGTCAATTCATTAAGTCCACTAAAAATACAGCGTGAGCCCACAGTAATAATAGCACAACAATCCTGCCCAAGACGTCTCTTTTTCCTTGCATCGGTACCTGTTTGTCATTCTTCAGAACCTGTAATGGATTTGGAGTCTACAGTAATAACATAGTAATAAAGCTCTTAATCACATATCTAGTTGTGCAGGCACCCGTAGAACTTTTTTTATTCATCTTTCTCCATCTCCTGCATTTTTCTTCTGGTCTTTTGTCTCGATCCTTGAATTGGGCAGAGATAGTCAACCCCAGAATGGTTTGTCAAAAAGTTGTGAAAATTGGTGCAATTGCCAATAGATGATATCCTCAGGGATGGATGAGTGGCGAAGTGATTGGCTGTGGCTCACCACCATTTTTCATGTAATTTCCAGTTAATGGCAATCATTATTATGATATTTATAAATAATTGAATCTTCATCACTGTAGTTTCATGTTGCTCAGATACCTGCTCTCTTTGAAAGGAACTTGTCCAACAATCACACTGATCATCTTCTTCAACCTTCAAACAGTAGAACCAGAAGTATGTTTCTGTCTTCTAGTTTGATTTTAAAATCGAATGCACATTTGTAGAGATGTTTATTATAACTGTTGGTCTGTTGGGAAAAAAGGAGCAAGCTAGGTCAATTTCATGACTGTTTAGTTGATGCTCTTCCACTTATGCTCTGCTATGCTAAACGTAAGTTTTTCATCATCTTACACTGATCTGTAAATGTCTCTTTGTGAAGTGAGAATTAAACTCCTTGTATGTATGCATGCTAGTAAGCGAGCGATGTCGTGCTTTTTGTTTGAGGCAAACATGATAGTGGGTGTAAAGCGCTCCCTTAATGAGTGCACGTTAACTACTGTTGCATCACCCCCATGTCAAGGGTCTCAATGATTGGAACCCACTCAGGGGGACAACAGGAGGAGTGAGTGATTGCTGTTGTGTGTCACCGTCACATCGGAGTGTGATAATGTGAGAGAAAGTAATGGACATAGTATGCTTTTTTTTTTTAATGGTCCCAGTCAGTATATCCACATGGAAACCACATGGAAAAGTAAACAAATCTTAAAATTAGGGCTTCAAGTTTAAATTAGGGAAAATTTTGGTCATGATCACAATTTTGGCATCACGTAATCAACTAAATATGATCGAGCAACAATGAAAATGTGTGCTCCGCCAATAGAATGCAAAGCAAAAGCAAGTCATGCGCTCCCTCAATCACTGCCTGATGATGTGCCTGCATGTGCCAATCACAGCTGTCCCTGCACCCTGCAGTGTGAAGTTTTCTGGGCTGTCTCTGTGAGTACCACTGTACAAAAGAAAAAAATCAAATGCCTGGGACAGCAGAAGGTGAAGAGCTTTTTCCTCAAAAAGGATCATCTTCCATTGTTTGGAAATACTTTGAATATTTAGAAGTGATGTTACCCAACAAAACAATACATGATTACATGAATAATTCAAAACAAACTACACAGGGTCAAACCATGAGTCCACATATCAAAAAGCTCATGGAGCTGACTGCTCAAAAATCCAAAGACCCAGTTCTGGACCGGCTGCCTGAAGGCAGCAGCGGCGCGGACACAGTTCAGGCGGCCGACCGTGCGGACAGCAACGGCGGCGACGGGCAAACAGTTCTGGGGGCCGACGGTACACACGGCAACAGCGGCGGCGCCGACAAAACAAATCCGAAGGCCGGCCATGTGGAAGGCAGTGGCGGCAAC